TCGTCTGGGTGATTTTTTTTTAAATTGGGTATCCCCTAAAAATCTAGAATTCATGTAAATTCACTGTAAAAACCATAGTATGTACTGGTATGTTGAGATTTCCATAAAGTAATTTCTTTAACAACCCAAAAAAATGCAAACACTCTCAATTCGATAATTTTAATCATACTTTATAGTTATTTTATTCAATTTTAAAAATATATTTACAAAACATATTATAATTTACAACATTTCAGACCAAGTTTTTTTTTTAATAAATTGAAGAGCAATGATAAAAATCAAATACGCGGACTTGAAAAAATTTAGAAAATCAGATGCTTGAAAAGTTTTTTCAGATGAAGTTAAGACTAAGGGAAATATTTGAGATGGTGAACTTTGAAAAATAGAAATACTCCCTTTCTGGGGCATGTAAAGTTTTCAGTGTTCGAGTATTAGACTTAAAAAAGGCGAGATTCGAATTTAAACAAAATTTCTCCATTCACACTCAACCGGGAAATGTAAGACTCCATTACAGATTTGCATAAAACGAAAATGTTGTAATGTTTCACTGCATGAACAGATTTTGAAATGTGGTCGCTGGAAGGTTTTTTAAATAATTTTGTCGTTTTTATTGTTGCTTATTTTTCGAACAAAGTTTCTTTTCCCAACTGCACTGCGACTAAAAAATCATCTCATGAAGGTTTTATACGAAAATTTTCATTCTAGAAAATCTTGCTTTTTCACTACAGTCCATTCTAAGAACTAACATAACATTTCTTGTAACAAAACATGCAGAGGATGTAAGAAATCCACCCTTGAATTCAATTTTCATGCCACTTTTTTGCGTGCATGGATTGAAATGTCAATTCAGGGACTTTGAATAATTTTTGAAATCTCAAGCTTAATTTCCAGATGCTGGACTTTAAATAAGTTTAAATATACATACCAGACTTCGCAAACTGAACTTTTGGACATTAAACAATGTTTTATGAATCCGAAAACTTGAAAAATTGGCATGATGTGATTTAGATATGGACAAAGATTTGACTTAGGATCAAATTAAAGATCGCCATCATTGGAACAATTCAAAATCCCAAACTTCGAACATATTCCAGAATTGTGGAACCTTGATAATCTTTTTTGTTTTACTGTAGTAATTTAGTATTTTTATTAGTACATTTTAGGTCACGCGTGATCGAGACTTACCGTTATTCTTATCAGATTTCTCCTTCTAACTGTATTTCAAAGTCAATTTTTGCATTTTTTTTCTGCGGTGAAATTAGAAAATGTATGTGGGTTCTATATTTTTTTTTTCAATTTTTTTTTCTGATTTTTTGACACTAGTTGCATCAAACATGGTTTTGTTTGAACATCGGAAAAAATAAAAATAAGACCGTGTAAAAAAGAGTTGGGTGTATGAGAAAACCAGGAAGCAAAATTTCAAAAGTTTATATTCCCTGCTGTTCGCTAATTTTTTAACATATTTTTATATGGAACCTGAAATAATATTTCATGTTTAACTAGTAAATTTATAGTTGAATCTTCTTTTTCCTAAAAAATGCACAATCCTATTTTTTCTATATTACTCAAGCGTTTGGCATAATGACCTTTGGTATACAAACGTGTGACATAAACATCGTGTTACATAACGATTATTATCACAAGCATAATGATCATGGTCTTGAAAATCATTGAATTAGCGAAAATGATTAAACAGACAATTTAGACGTTTGGGGAGTTGGAAAATGTCCACGGAAAACGTATGAACGTTTGTCTACGCAGGAGAAAGCAGGTGGCTTAAAATCTCTCAAAAATTGTCTACGTGGTTTGTGAATAGCCCCTTGGGAGCATGCATTAAGTACATCACGTGTAAATCTAAACCCTCTCCTCCCTTTCGTCATGCTTTTCCTAAACCTAATGCATTGCTTGTCACACATGTTATTGCATTTGACCTAGTAACTGAAAAAGTTTATGGCCATTATGCTGAATGCTATTATGTCAAATGTCACTAAGCCGACTTATGAAAAGTGTAATTTGGTATTCCTGAGATTAATCTGAAGTCTGATTTCGGCTTCTCAATCTAATAATCTGATTTAGTACGTTTGTTATTCGTCCCAACGTTTTAAGTGCTGAAATTTTGGGCATGAGCATGATTGACCGCCCACGGTTGCGACTCTGTTATTGCCAGATCAGTTGTAGTTACACAGAGCACCAATAGACGATGCTTGGGACTAGCAATCATCCTCAATGTGTAACAACTGGTGATCTCAACTAGGCAATACCAGCGCCGGCAGCGTCCGAACACAGGTCAAGAAAGGAATGGGTAGGAATGTGTTGACGTGACATTCACTTTGATGGAAACCGAAAACACCTCTGCCCTTCCTCGAGGAATCACTGGGATATTGGGTAAGAGGGTTGGGATTGCAGCAGGGTTCGTTTTGGTAAACGATAAGTTGAATTGATGTCCTAACGATCATATAACGCGAAGAAGCTTGAGGTTGAACCCACGATATTCTGCTCAGTAAGCAAAAATATTTTCCACTAGGCAAACGAACTCCTTTGTATTCACATTAACAAATAAAGCGATTAACGAATCTTGGATGTGGAGGGGCGTGAGATTAAACTCATGATGTTCTACTCAGTATGCAAAAATCGTCGCTCTAAGGCCACCAAGCCCCTCATATAACATCACGATCGCGTTGTTATTGCAACCATTCAAAACCGACCCCGCCGGTGACGGAAGTGACGATGTTAAATTTCACAAAACTCACGATAATCAAGCAATGTTACTATAAGCCTCCTTAAAATGACAGGGCTTGGGATTCATTCAAACTCAAACTCGACGGTGGTGTGTTTTAAGTGCTGGAATTTTGGGGACAAATAACAAACGTGTCGTTCTAAATTAGAGTGTTAGACTGATAACCCTAAATCAGACATAGTTTTAACTTCTACAGTCGACCACTACTCCACTACTTTGGGTCTTTGAAATATTTTCAAGCTCCCTGTTTGTGAAAACATTACAAAATTATATCTTTAAAAATCTGTAAAGATTCTGGTAATATTAAAATTGCTCACTTGGTTGAAAAAAAATATTTGTGGTCTTGAGAACTTTTTCATCATGCTGAATTTTCATCTGAAGACTGACATTTCAAGCTTTTTTAATAGCAGATTTCTCCTTCTTTGAAACATTACCGGTTCTCCCTTGTAGCCATAATGTTTGATATTTGTCTTGGATGAAGTATGCATTAACAAAATATTGTTTTTACTGCTTATTATTTTCTCAAACCGCGACAATACAAATGTCGCATCAGTGATAGGTCTATAATTGATTGATTGATTTCTTTATTATAGATTGAAAGATAGGTACATACACATTTTGGCCTCAAGACCTATTTGCCCTAACCATGCTTGGCATACACAGTTTTAGTCACGAACTGTTCATTTGCTAATAACTTTGCACACAGTTGGCAGTTCTTTTTGAAGCAGTAGATAGAATAGAGTGTAAGATTGTTATAGATATGTAAAAAAAGTAGATTTTAATGCTAGAGTAGAAAAAGTAGATTTTAATGCTAGTAGTAAACTGTTTTTGTTTTTGCGTTGTAAAAATGAGGTGAGAAATGCTCACTACACATCTCGGAGTTTAAGTGTTAAATTGATTAGTGTTGATTCGAATGATAAGATTGACCTACTCTTTGCATGTCTACAGTTTACTACGTTCCTACTCTATCAATTACCTTGAAGAAAACAAAATTTCAACAACTGAGTGAAAAGTTATTAACAAATGAGCAGTTGGTGTGTACAACTGTGCATGCCAAGCATGGTCCTAACGGTATTCGAACAAATGGCCCATCATCGTGTGTGTATTTATTTCTCATGTGAGCTTTGGTGCTAACTGCAAACACTAAATATCATCCATATTCTTGTTTTTGTTCGACATTTTCCATACATAATTTTCTTTTGTTTGAAAAATTCGGTTCGAGCAAAATCAAGAAATATGGGTGTACATCATTGAATCAAACTTTACTTGTGTAGACCGAACCTACGTTTGCAGTACTTGATAATCACTCTCAGTTTCGCTTGCATGCCTCCTCGAGATTCGATCACTCACGACGGATCGTTCTTGTTGAAAATTTCGTTCCGCCCGCACACCGTCTACGTTGTCACCGCCCGTAAATGGTAAATAGTTCAAATAGCAAAACAAGCAATCGTCACCCGTCGGTAAACGATGAGATAAAATTTTATGTAAATTTGGTTGTGTTGTTTACTTTTCCTTAAAATGCCATTTTTTTTCGGTGTCCAACGTACGCAGCAGCAATAATGCTTACGCATCCCACCTCAACCCCCCAAACAATCGAAGCCGGTTCGAGGCGAGTGTCGATGTCATCGAGCCCGGTCTTGTGTGGGACGAAAAGGTTTCATAATCACTTTACTTAGCATATGCGATGCGATGTGAGGCGACGACCAACCGACGACGACGACGCGTGAATGCTATTCATCTTGAGCTTATTGAGGGAGGGTGCGAGTAACCCTGAAAATTGTAAGCTTTCTGATGTCCAGAGGTGTCAATATTGGCTGAGGGTCAAATGGCTGTATATTGGAAGGGTTTCGGACTTCAGTCATTTGGCATAGCAGCAGGTGTAGCAATCGTGTTTGTTCATGTGTTCATGTGTACGAGCAATAATTGTGTAATTTATTGACTGACGAGATGGCTTTTGGCTATGGTCCAAACGAGACGCTCTAACTATTTCGAGTGATGTTAATAAGTGTTGGAAACTTTCTTCATCTGGTAGCAAGCAGATGGTCGCAATTTCGTTTCTTATTTGATCAATCGATACAACTTTGCGTAGGTGGAGCCCAGTTTTTTTTATAATTCTAACGAAAAGTAGGTTTGTTATTTTGAGCTCTGGAAAATTCCTATAAAATTTCCAGAATGTTACAACCTAAGCAAAAAAGATACATTCATACACTTATAAATCACACAATCAGATCTAACCAATCTTTCTTCCAATTTCCACTTCCAGATGCACCGTGGTCCTGTTCAACTCCAAAAAGCTCACACAGTCATTTCTGCTCAACACGGCCAAGAAGGCCATAACAGCGGTAGCGTACTCGCAGTGCGGCCGGTACCTGGCCACCGGTGAGTGCGGACACAACCCATCCATCAAGGTGTGGGAGCTGGACGTCAATGGGAATGGCAGCTACGAAAACGGTGCCGCTGGCAATATCGTGGCGGAGTTCTCCGGCCACAAGTACGCAGTCAGTTGCGTTGCATTCTCACCGACGGGCAAGTATCTTGTTTCGGTGGGCTCACAGCACGACAACATTGTGAACGTGTTCGATTGGAAGGCTAATTTGAAGATTGCCTCCAACAAGGTTACGGCCAAGGTCGTTGCTGTGAGCTTTAGCCAGGATGGGAATTACTTTGTGACGGTGGGGAACAGACACGTCAAGTACTGGTACTTGGAAGGTAGCCGGAAGTACAAGGAACCGATCCCGTTGATGGGAAGGAGTGCGATATTGGGGGAACTGCGGAATAATGATTTCTGCGCGGTGGCTTGCGGGAAAGGGGAAATGTCGGATAGCACATACGCCATTACGAGGAACGGGCATCTGGTGGAGTTCAATTCCAGGCGGTTGCTGGACAAATGGGTCATGTGCAGGACCAATGCGGCCAACTGTTTAGTCACCAGTACAAAGTATATCCTAGTGGGATGCGCCGAAGCCATTATCAGGTAAGTCACGATTAGGTTTCCTTCTGAACGTAAGTCTAAAGGTCTGGACCTCTCAGAGTATTCAACGCAGAGACCTTGGAATACATCACCACCCTGCCGCGGACGCATTTCCTGGGAGTGGACGTGGCACAGGGTCTCCACATCAATCACATGATGACAACTCCACAGAATGCCAAGTATCCGGACACGATCGCGATCGTGTACGATGAAAGCCGATGTAAGGTGACGAGCGTCTACAACGATCATAGTTTGTACATTTGGGATTTGCGGGATATTCGACGGGTGGGTAAAAGTAATTCATTCCTGTACCACTCGGCGTGCATCTGGGGTGTGGAAACTGTGCCATTTAGCTATCTGAAGAACAATGTATCGGATACGCTGCCATCGGATAGCTTCCTGACGTGTTCATCGGATGACACTATTCGGGTGTGGGACATCGAGAACGGCGAAAGCACCGAACTCTACCGGAAGAACATCTACAGCAAAGAGCTGATGAAGGTGATCTATATCGATGAGGAGCTGAACCATATCAAGGATGTGGACAATCCGATTCACAATACGGAGAAAAGCTCCAGCTACGACGGAAGGAACGGAGTACGATGCATCAAGATTAATCCGGACAACAGTCAGTTGGCTACCGGGGATAGGAGCGGTAACATTAGGATCTACAATCTCAATAATCTCAAACTTATCACAACGATCGAAGCGCACGATTCGGAAGTGCTGTGCCTGGAGTACACCAACGAAAAGATCGAACGAAAGCTGCTGGCCAGTGCTAGTCGGGACAGGTTGATTCACATCTTCGACTGCGAGGCCGGTTACAGGATCCTGCAGACGTTGGACGACCATTCGAGCAGTATTACCTCGGTACGGTTCATCGGATCGGGCAAGCAGTTCCAGATGGTGTCCTGTGGTGCCGACAAATCCATCATCTTCCGAAACTTCCAGAACAATGTCTTTCTGCGGGGCAACAACTGCTCTGGTAAAAATACGCTTTACGATATGGAAGTCGATAGTAACTATAAGCACATCTTGACAGCGTGTCAGGATCGGAATATCCGAGTCTACAGCACACAGAATGCCAAACATACCAAGACCTTCAAAGGTTCACATTCGGACGAAGGAAGTCTGATCAAGGTTAGTTTGGATCTGAGTGGCATCTATATTGCGACTTCCTGCACGGACAAGACTCTCAGCGTTTACGATTATTACTCCAACGAATGCATGGCCCGCATGTACGGGCATAGCGAGCTGGTGACTGGGTTGAAGTTCACCAACGATTGCAAGCATCTGATTTCCGCTAGCGGAGATGGTTGCGTCTTTGTATGGCAGGTTCCACATGACATGATAGTAACGATGCAAGCTCGTCTTTCTCAGCAAGCGCTTCGATCCGGTCATCAACCAATTCCGCGCCCATTATCCAATCCATTCACTGATGCCATCCTAGATCATTCTCCGCCACATACCGAACAGTTTGGATCACCTCCAAACAATCTCTTCATAGAGGACGCTCCAGTGACGCCGGGCTATCGATTTTCCGACGTCGGACAGTTGCCTCAATGGGCCAAACGGAAGCCTACGGAAGATCAGTCCAATTCACCCGTTCTCGGTAGTAGTCCCAGCCAGAGCCAGAACTTTGGCGGTCCTCCAAAACCGCGAGGACGTTGGGGTCAGAAGGGACAGTTCGATGAAGCATTGGATCTACGCAACATCGTCGATAGCCCATTGAACACCACCTACAGCAGCGACAAAACTGCATTGCATCATGCGAATAATAACAACACTCCAACTTCCGGATACAACAGCGGCAGCTCCAAAGACGTCTACAGCAACGCCTATCTGAGCGAAGATAGTTCGATCGACAGTGGCCGGGAAAACCGACGAGATATCACATTCCTGCAGCATAAGAAGATCTCCGAGACGAAGGCGCTGAATTCGCTCAATTCGGAGTCGAATACGGAGCACGATGGGGACGTGGAGGACATTTCCGATGGTGAACGGACCAGTTCCGAGCATGGAATGGTGTACTACCCGACGGCGGCGCCGTCCACGCCAACGTAAGTCGTTTGTTGCGAAAATACCTAATTCTTCCTAAATGAACAATTTTTCTCGGCAGAGATTTCAAAATCAACGAGATCGATGTTAACGAGCTGCGAAAATCGGTCCGACGGCAAAAGCTGGAGAAGCAAGGTTTGAGCACCGCTGTTCAGCTGCAGATGCAGAGCGCTGCCTCCACCGGAACCGGGACCGGTACGTCGGACGACGAAGACGAAGGATCGACCCCGAGTGGAGACAACGCGGACCGATCGCTCGCGTCCACTTTGGGAGGAAGCTCCGAAAGTATACCACAGCAGACATCGTCGACCTTCCTGCAGGCCGCCCTCGACGGACCGGCCAGCCTTTCGGACAAGGAACGAGGTGAGTTGATTCAATTTCTTGTTTAAAAAAAACTCATTTCAAATCGATTTTCCCACTCTTCCGCCAGTTCAAAGCCGCAAGAGCATCAGCGCGATGCACAACAACGATGCCAAAATCACGACCAGCATCTCCAAATCGTACGCCAACAACAAAAAGGAAGAACTGATGAAAGTTATCAACGAGGCCAAAGCAAAGCTGGAAAATGTAAGTACCAACCATTTCCAACAAACTTTCAAGATGAACTCTCTTTCCCCTCTTCCCCCTTCCGCACACAAAAAGAAGCTTCAATCGTCTGGAACATTTAAGCAATATGTCTCGTTTTATGTTTCAGTTTTTACGTTTCGTTCAACAACTCATCAACCCTTTCTCTCTCCTTCCTTCCATTGCGTTTATTCTAGGGGATTCTAATTCATAGTAAGCGTGACGTTAAATATTCATTAAATCTAGTTCATTCTAAGGTGAGAAACAGCGGTTCTTGCAGAAGAACCGACCCGATTACCCATTTTTCTCTCTCTATCTCTCTCTCTCTGTCCCCCTCACATTCACTGACTACTTCGCGGGCGGATCTCTCGTATACTAATATTTAAACTACTAGTACCGAATAACACACAACCATTATCGATGTGCTTTCAAATTAAATTGCTGCTGTTGACAATGTTATCCACCTTTTTTATGTCCTTTTAACAAAACAAAATGTGCTTTCACACTCTGTTCGTTATGACTTTATGGTGGGCATCCCGGTGGACCACGATGTCCAACCAAGGCCGCTGGACCCACACAATATGCCTCCACCGTCAATCATCTGTGCTTCATCTGTGATTGTGCTGGATTGAGATATCAATCATGAGTTTGATTTGTTGGAATCATGTACCCTCCGGGTACGGTGGGTGCAATTAATCTTATTGTCATTCCCATGCACTCTTTTGCTGTCGGCGATCTATGTTGATGCTGGTGTTTGTACGGCTGCTGGTGACTGGCTGTTTTGTGGATAAATGTGTCTTGAGGCAGTAGCTCTTGAATTTAGTGATTTGTTTCCAATTTGTTGCATGGATTTGAGGCATAAACACAATCAAGTTCAATTTTTGAATAATACGTAGTAGAAATGCGTTTATCATTGGAGTGAATTCATCATTTCATCTTTCGTGGTACCGATGGTCAGGAGATAGGCAGGGATAGATTAATGATGTAAAGAGCTGGTTATAGATAGTTTAGTGGTAATTTTCGGGCATTTTTTATTTAACTTAACATAAATAATACCTTGCAATTTTTAGTTGCTACTCCGCGATTGGAGCCTTAGGTGCCTAGTCCAGGGTGGCAAGGGCACCAGTGAAACCCGGAAAACCGGGAAAAAGTTGGGACTATATTTTCACCTGGAAAAACCAGGGAAAGTCGGGAATTTGAAAAATCTTCCAGGAAATTGATGTTGTTTCTATGATTTAAATAACTTCTGAATTTCACATCGGTGATAATTGTGAAAGTTTTATCAAAACGTATGTCATTTGTATAATTAGGTCAAAACTAATCATTTCCCACAACTGAAAAATTGCTGCAAGATGAACAAAGTTTACCTAAAGTGTTCAGTAGACGTATTGCCTATTTATATAATTTACAGTTTTTTCACGAATCAATTGGATTCGGTGAAGATAATTGATAATTGAAATTAACAGCTGAGCATAAAACGTAGCTAATTGCTGAGCCATTTTCAATTAGATTTATGTGTAATAGTTAAGCGGTCGCTTATTAGAGTGAATCAATAGTTTTCTTCCTAGCTTTATACTATTTTGGCTACGTTTTATCAGATAAAATTAATCCAAATGAGGGAATCTAAGCCTAAAGCAATTTCTAGCTGATTCTATATCTAAATCGTTCAGTTTTTAATCTATCATTTTCGGGTTTGCACCCGGTGAGAACGTTTTTCATATTGTTTCAGTTTGTCACTTGATTCGCTCTACTAATATAATATAACTAATCTTACACCAACACAGCCAGTTCATGAAAGCATCCTGGAAAATGATATATATACCTACATAATTTTTCTTGTCTATTTGATATATGTTTCACATCGAAGATGCGTTACACAAATCAAAACGGCCAGGTCTACTGTGCAGCATTTAAGGGGCAAGATGATTCAGAAATCGGGCCTGTTCAAATCGAACATTTAAACACGATGCTTCAGAATCCAATAAATGGATGAAACGTGGACATCTCGTACCGTACGTTCCGATTTTGGTTATTATATGATTGGTTGGTCGTTTGAAGCATCAAAGCTAGAAAGATTATGTGATGCTCCATTTTCTTCTGACGGTTGGGGCATGAGCACTAACTTTTGTCCTAGTCTTTTATGACTTATGGCTATAGCGCAATTACTTGCTTTCTGAAAAGAGAAGAGGGAAATGAAAAGGAGAAGGACAAAGGGAAAAGGATTATGTGAAATCTATGAACATAAACAATATTTTTGATTTGAAATATACAATATAGAAATGCATAACGGCGCGGTGGTCACTACCCGAGTCTTGTCACTATTATCAAGTCATAAAAAGTAACAAGGACTAAAATGTGATCCTTTGATTACTGGAAAATCCTGATTCCCTAGTTTGAAATTGTCACGACTAGGGTTCGGTGTTAGATCTTATACCAGTAACGCACCACAAAAAGGTGATCTCCCAACGTTACTGATTTGAAAAGATAAATATTTACAAAATGAAACGAACTCACCAAGTTTAGCCAATTGAACCTGAAGGCTGCCTGACATGTGTTGATGTAGAAGTCCAAATTGTAGACGAAGCTTGACGAAGATCAACATGAACTAGTCCGGTTTATGGTAGTTGCGCGGTTGCGTAGTTGCGCGATTTGAGATGTATGTAGTCGATTTTTGATGTGCATTGGTAAGCCTTTTCTTGGCCAATAGTCAGGTTCAACGCTGTGACTCAACGAATTATGGGACGCCTCGTGGAGGTTCTACTTGGCTTTGGAACAGCTTCTTAGCGGCAAATAATAATGACCTAGAATGAGGAACTAGAAATTGTCTCCTGAGCCTGGTTATGGCCAGATCAGCAACCGATAATAGATAAAAAAAAACTCCACAGAAAAAACAAACATCGAACACATGCACAGTCTACTCTCTTGTCACTTGATTCGCTCTACTGCTGTAAATATTAAGTATATGTGCAGTCATCTTCTTAGTACAATCAACACTTGTTCAACCATCTTTTAGCTTCCAACGATGGCTGTTTTTCTTTTCCATTGAGTGAATGAATTTACCACTAATTGATTAATTCAAAATCGATCGAAATACTCTTTCTTCCAAAACAAAAACACAATGTTTTGTAATCGTTTTCCCAACTTTCATAGAAACAGTTACAAAAATACTTCAAGGTAAGAGTGAATGCCGTAATACTTTATAGTTCTACTTAAGCTTAGTGGTCCATACATGCCCTCATTGTGACTTCAATTTATATGTATTTAAAAACTTCAAAATTGGCTTCACGTCGAGATCTTAGGAATATTTTAAAAATGCATAGATCTGAATCATCCTTTTTTATAAGGGTTCAATGTATTGCAGTAGTCTGACAAGCTTAACTCTCAAGGGCCACCCACATTAGATCCGTTTGCGTTGTGTTGACGTAAATTTGACAGTTAGACAATAGATTTAGCTGTCACTTTGCCGCAACGCGTCCGATCCGGATCTAATGTGCGTGGGCCTTCAGAGTAGCAATGGTGAAAACTAGCGCACAACATCCACACGCTGTATTGGTACACAGAAAGTGAATAACGGATGGCAACTAAAATTTTGGAATTTCTTTCTCAAGCTGTCAAAAAAAGACAAACATACTTGAAGAAGGTCTGATTTATTGAAATTAAAGATACATTGTCCATTGTTGAAAAAAAATTAGTGAACATTTGAAAACGGTCCGTAATCGGATGTTCGGCGAAGCTTCCGTTTGATGTCGGAACAGGAACGTTGTACGGCCTTCATGTCAACTTTGCGAATGCATCTCTTGATTTTACCAAACAACTGTTGGCAATTCGTGGCTCTCCAGTTATTTTTGTACACCAAGGAGCTCAAAACCCCGAAGAAATCTTCGATTGGGCGACACTGAGGCAGATTTGTCGGGTTGTGGTTTTTGGGTACAAATGGGATCGAATGGGTATTCAGGAACGATTGTGTTTTTTTGGCGTAATGCGATGACGCTTTATCCGGCCAAAACACGTATTGTCCATCAGCATGATGTTTTTGTAGAAACGGGATCAAAATTTTCTTCAAAAATTCGTTCTGGTACACATATTGATTGATTGCCAAACCAGAGGGTTTGAACCATGGCACGAGAAAGAGAACGAAGTCCTTTTGCGTCCATAATTTTGGCTGGTCTTCCACTACCTTGCTTGCGAGCAGTTGTTGGGGATCTTAGGATATAGTAAACAGTCGAAGCCGCAACATTTTCGCTTTTAAAATGTTGTACCGTATACTTTTTGCCGAGATTTCTGTGCAGTTCGTAGAACTGCACAACGCGCTCGCGAAATACTTCTTGTTTCGACGGCATTTTGAGCAAAACTGAGCAAGCATAAACAAAACAGAAAATACTAGCAGAAAGAGGAGAGAGAGAGCTAACACATACACACTCTTATTTCTCTCTGAGCTCGTTTGTTGTTGAGCATAGAGGCCTCGAAAAAATTCCAAAATTTTAGTTGCCACCCGTTAGATCACCCAAGTAACAATTATGCATTTATGACCTTGATTTAGACCTGTATAAAGCTTTAAAACCTTGATAAAACTTCCAAGGCAGCTGAATTGATAAAGTTCCAGGAGAAGGACTGAAAAGCTGCGTACCTGTTGATCTCTTTGATCCATGACGATTTGCTGAATCTCGTAAGGGACAAGGAAGGAAAAAATGGGCCCAGTTTGCTGCTTACTGAAGTCTATACAATATGAGATCATTATCATACGATTATCACTATCACGCATTTTACATTAGAGGCTGTTCATAAACTAGGTATACAGTTTTTGACTTATTTTTGACTTCACTCTCCTCCCACTTAGAAAGTCTTCAATACATTTTTTTATTCATTTGGACCGTAAACTTTTGCCACCTCTCGCTTTTAAACTATCTACGTAGTTTATGGATAGCCCCTTATCACAATACATGTGTGAACACTATCATTGTCGTTCTATGAGTATGGTTCTATCAGAGCAATTGTATCCGACCTTTGGTTGACTGGGTACAATTCTTTGCCATAATTCAATGTGTTAAACCATATTCCATTTCTAAACCCTAATGACAAAACAACATATATTGTTATAAAAAATATTCATTGTTAACAAACAACTGGAACATTTACCAAAATTATATAAATTCAGTGTCAACATATCAAAGGGGCGTTACTGCATTTGTGAACAATGGCTTTAGCCGTCGATTTCTCGCGAATAAAAGCTCACTGATGGGGCGTCCCTTGCTCAGTCGGTAAAGGCACAGCTACAAAGCAAGACCATGCTGGAGGTGTCTGGGTTTGATTCTCGGTCCCGGTCTAGGATTTTTTCGGGTTGGAAAATGTCTCGACTTTGGGCATAGAGTATGATTGTACTTGCCACACAATTATACTATTTAATGCAAAAATGGTACAGGCATCGAAGGCTCTCAATTAATAACTGTGGAAGTGCATCTAGAACACTAAGTTGAGAGCACGCACTAAGCTAATATGCGATAAGCAATAAGCTTGAAATGCGAGGAAGAAGAAGATGAAGTCAAGAAAATTAATGACACTAACATGTAGAGGAATGTTTCCTCTATCAGCTAGCATTATTAATTTGGAGGGGTGTGCTTTTAGTGTCGAGAAATCGATGGCTTAATATATTGTTTATGAAAGCTATTACGCCCCTTTGAAATGTTGGCACTGAAATATTTTATAATGTTAACAAAAAATCAAAACAAAGAGGTATGAAGAATCTATCTTATGCTATCTAATCTCTTCAAAGCTTGCTGAAACTATAATCCTCGTTGGATATCTTAAAAATCCGCTGAACTGCTCGGACTTTAAAATACGTTCTCTGAACCTTCCGAGTTAACCAAATTTTACAGTTTTTTTCTTATCTGAATATTCTCCATTCATATTCAGGCTATTCAGGCAAAAATAAATAAGATATAGATCCTAAGTATTTATTGTAACTGAAATAAATAAATCTTGATTTAAAAAATCCCTCGAGAATACTCTTAGAATTCCTTCTACTCCTACTCCTTCTAAAATTATCTTAGTAATATAAATAATCACCGTGAAATTTCGCTTGAAATTTTCTCCATATATTTTTGACGTAGAACTACGTTTTAGTCGACTATACTGGCCATAATCGCATATCAGTCCCATATGGATAGGAAATCAAGCAAAGATGGGACTGATATGCGATTATGGGTAGTATACTGGGGTACATATAAAAAAATATGTGTGGTGAAATAGTGTTCGGTTTTGAAAGCTTGTAACTTTGTCATTTGGAGATTACATTAAATTCCAAATACGCCAATCGATAAGATATTACTTAACGAATCTGCTAAAATAAATACTTTTCCAATTTTTAATCGAAAAAACTTTGAAAAATGCACATATGATAATTTTATCACTGTTTTCATGAACTAAACGTTTTTCCCAAACCCAGTCATCATAAACGAATACCACTTGGTTGCACATCATTCTGCTTGAACCTGAAAAGATATAAAACAGCGCTGCTTTCCTGACTCTGCTCATAGACTGTTGAGCAGTACAGTCGACGTTTCTTCTCTCGCTCTCTTCGTTCGTTCGATTGCGTTGTTCCGTTTTTTTTTAACTCTCTTGAAATATTCCTCATGATTTTTTTAATTCTCTTGAAGCTTAGAGATGTTCGGAAAAGCTAAGCCATCTTTAGAAAAGTTCAAGGGAACCTTAGAATGACTCAAGGCATTAATCTCAGAGAAGACTAGAGGAACACAACATAAGTTTAGTGAACGTCGAAGAAATTCAGGAAACACTAGATTTGTCTAGGGAACTTTTAAAAAACATAGGAATCTTCAGAGAAGTCAAAGAGAATTTCAGAGAAGCCCGAGGAAACTTTTTGAGAAGCCAAGACGATCTTTTAAGAACTTTCTGGTACTTCAGAGAACTTCTAAAATAAAGAAGAATAGTTTGAAGAAGCTCTGCGAACTTCAGCTAAGCTCAAGAAATTTCAGAATAGCCTACCCGAGCAGGAACGAATATTTCGATACCTTAAATTGGTATGGATGAGCCTGACATAAGAGGTAAAATACCAAAAAATAATTCCAAAATAATGTTCCCACAATATCATTCCAATATCAAATTAAGAAAATGCAATTCCAAAAGGTACTCTTTTGGTATCCAAATATAAATTTTCGTTATTTAAAAAGTATTTTGCATGAAAATTTCTTTGGTATTTTACTTCTTATGCAGTGTTTAAAACATTCAGGTTAAATGATTTATTTTCATATGAATATGACTGCCTGGTGAGAGTGAACGATTTACTGACAGCAGAGCACTCAGTCAGCATGTTTATTCTTCCGTGATGGTACCCAATCCTTGTTTTAAATAACTGAGCGTACATTTTCTATGGAAAAATGCCTCAATTACAAATGCATGTGTGAGTGAAGGCAAGCGGTGTGAGTCGCCTGTTTGGCTCTTTCATTGCCACGTCCTTTACCGTATGGTACATACGGTCTGAATAGAGCAATGAATTGAATAGAGCAGTGCTTTCACACTCAACCTAAGCAGTCAATAATTTTACGCTCTGCTCTTATGTCTTGCTGGTCAACACCAATATTTGGTATTAAGAACAGAATTAGTTATTAATAACTTATTTTCTCTTACTCGGCATAGATAACCTCAAAATAATCTCAGAGATAGGAATCGATAACGGAAACCTATGTGATGTTTAGGAGATCTCCAAAGAAATCCAGGAAGAGACGCCTGAGCAAACTTTGAAGAAGTTCATGGAAACCTTAGGCAACTTGAGAATACTTCAGAGAAGATGCATTGACTCCGGAAAAAAATCATTAAACCTCAGGAAGATACAGGTTTAAATGTAATTTTATGTGGACCAGAGGGGAAGTGCACAAGTTTTTACACTTCTTAAAATTTGAACCAGTCATGACTTCTTTTTTTTTCTTCGGATTTCATGCTTTATTGTGCATCGCATATTAGCTTATTGCGTGCACTCAACTTAGCGTTCTAGATGCACTTTCATAGTCATTAATTGAGAGCTTTTGATGCCCGTACCATTTTTGCATTAAAATAATAATTGTGTGGCAATCATACCCAGGAAAGTCGAGAAAATTCCTAGATCGGACCGAGAATCGATCCCAGCCGCCTCCAGCATGGTCTTGCTTTGTAGCTGTGCCTTTACCGACTGAGCTAAGAGAGGTCCAGCCATGTGATATGTGATTTAAATGAGATAGTGCTTCCATTGCGTATATGGGATTGTGGCACAATTGGTGCATATTCCATAACTGGAACATGTGCCCTTTTAACTTTCTAAATAGTTATTATTTCATTTTAATGCAGAGGGAAAAGTCGGGCAAAGTGAATCTTTTTCACCCAACCTTTAAAATTCGATTCATCTCATCTCTTGACAACGGAAAAGTGTAGAACTTTTTGTCTTTTTCAAAGCCATACCCAACAAACAACTTGTGCTGATTAAAGGCTGAATAAGCATATGTTTGTTTTAATTAGCTCTTATTCTACTTCGAATGTTTGTTGAGTAGCAACTTTGTATACCGTAAATTCAATTACATGCAAGAATAAATTGTATAATGTGGATATTTTCTCAGGTTTAAAACAACTCGGTCCTTGTATCTGACTGATGTTTGAGTTTCGTTTACTCAAATTCGCATAAAACTTAGGTCATTGATAGACAGAGTAAATGTGAGTGACATTTACTCATATTTAAGTAAAATGTTACTCAGTCTATGAGTGACCTACGGTGTTTTTGTGAATTTGAGCAAACGCCCAACAAACAATGGAAACAGAATAAGAGCTTATTTCAGGTAGAAATGTGCTTTTTTCTGCTAAAAAATAGCTTATTCAGCCTTTAATCAGCTCAAATTGTTTGATGGCTGGAACTCAAATATGTGTCCAGACTCATCGATCGTGAAGATCAGACCTATCGCATTTCATTCACCAGATCTTAAATCAATAGAAAAGTGACGAATAAATTTATTTGCCGAGAATTTTACAAAATGCTTTGACTTACCTACCAAGTAACATCATTTGGAATCGACCTCTGATGACATTGACGATGGAGTGTGGCGTTCGAGATCCAGTTGGGATGCCACCAGGCATTAATTATATATCGCAGGCATTGGATAGTGAAGACCTACAGCTTTTGAGTGTTCTCTGATGGTAGGCACCTGGTTTCGGTGGTGTATAGCTGAACAGTTGGAGTTGAAAATCTGGATTTTGGTGCGTTGACTAATCTGATTTGATTTGCTTTATTAAGCTCGTAAGGGCAGCCCTAGTCTTTTTGATTATTGGTCCCGCCGTTTTACGTTATCTGGCTGCCAAGATATTGGAAAATTTCAACTTTCTCCACTGCTTGCCTTACTACTGTCAAATTTTAAGGGTTATCCGTGTCACTCAACGATTTGGTTTTGTTGAATATCATTCAATTAATATATAGCTCTGAATTGATACACTGCAAGCAGCACTGCATATTATAGATAAAACAGTAATGTTTCCCATAGATTCGTCTAATTTATCCTCAGTCACCGTTCTTGCTTTTTAGTTTACAATACCTTTAACTAGACTTGTCATTCCTAACGAAAGCTTCCATCTTCGTCCTCATCTAAATACTCCATTCAAAGCCATCTCCTAACCTCAAACTCAACAAACACATGTCACAAAGAACTGGACCAAATACGAGACACAACCGAACCCATTCACCCGAAATTTCCACCGGCAAGAAAGATGATTTATCGATGGCCATAAACCGGGCAAAGGGAGCACCAGCATAACACAATCAGCACAGAGCCAGCAAAAAATCCAAAGTCTATGTCCTACATGCAAGCTTTTTCGCTACCTTTGCCTTCGGTCCGTCTCTACATGTTCGTCGTTGTCATCGTAGCTTACATATTCATTCCATACATAATGCCTTACTGATTCATGTTCCCGAAAGAAAGAAAAAATCCCCATTCAAAACGACGAGATCACATCTAACGGTCCAATGCTTCTTTTTACCGATGTCCAATGTCCCCCCATTCCAGGTTGGCTACCGATCCGGCCTGCGCGCTAGTCAGAGCATATCCGATCTAAGTCACTCGATGAGTCCCGCCGGCGGTGGCGCCGGTATCGGTCGAATGCAGAGGATAGGTAAGTTTTTCACGGACACGAGCCCAAGGTTCGTTTTCTATTTTTTTCCTAGAACTACACAGTTTGATTTGACCACAAACAATACACAGTTGTAAACACCAGCTTCCTATTCTGCCAGAATATTCGCTGCTGGTGGTGGTGGTGGTGGATTCTTGTTTTCTCTCCCTTAAAACGCTATTTTCCACAACCCGCTTTATAACGATTTCACCCGAAAAGCTTTTTGGTTTTGGTTTCCAACTTTCACAGTACTTGTAGATAACCTGGTTTAGGACTAACCCGCTCTGTAGCCAACGTCAGTTAGACGATAGTACGACACGCGCTGATCACATTGTGTACACAAGAATATCTCCGTGCTAGTGTTTCGAACAGGAAAAGTTCCATGCAAACATGACGACATCATACACTGCCATTGATTTTTTTTTCAACAGAAACATTCTATATTTCACTCCTCCCCACATACCACCAAAGAACGAAAGCGTTTAAATCGCTTTGTTTTCTCTACTTTTATCCTCATGCTGCTCGATCGCGCAATCTTCGGGTTGTAACGGTAAATCAAAAATTAATTCACCCTAGGTGACCCATATTACCATCGTAATCATCCTCCACCTCCAGTGCCAAGTAGTCACCATAATTATTTGAACTGTGCAGCCTCCCGGTCCCGTCTTGTTCAGAACTGCGCTATGATCAATCAATTCCAACAAGAACTCCCACCGTATCCAAAGAACCTCGGAATCTACTCCAAACCGGACGACGGAGATGAAAGCAGTGAGGAGGAAAACACGCTGGTTCGACCGGACAAACTAGAGCTTCCAGAACTTCCGCCGGTGCCGGCGGATAAACTCCGGAAACATCCGGGAATATTGAAGAACTACAAATCTTGTCCGGTATCTCCCGTTCACGAAGAACAGGAGTGGAGTATTATATCCTCTGTCAATCAGGACGCAGAATCAGGTCCGTCGAACGAAGGAACTGCCCGCCGTTCTCATCGGCAGGGCCGCCATTCTATGTACTACGAAGATGCCAAATCGATTCTGGATATGATCCATTCGGATACGGAGAAGATGATCCAGGAAATCACCAGCAAGTACGGTGATCTGGACGACCTGGAACCTCCTAAACCTTCTCAGGAACCACAACCCGCGATCTCAGCGGATCGTGGTGAACCCAAACGGTTGGAAAGAGTTAACAAAGCGCTGGAAGGCCTAAAGAACACCGCTCGGAAAGAGCGACATGAACATGGATTCCTCTCCGAGGATGACCCCAATTTTAGCTCCGATTCGTTAGAAGACTGTAGTCTAGATTTAGACGTGGGTAAGACTGAACACGGTAGAAGTAAACGAAATATGTGTGCCAAACATCAGAAACCTTCTCGACCGATGGGCTCACTGCCAAAACGATCCGTTTCGGATTACTTTATCTATGATAGCTTCCAACCGGCACCGTACCGCAATGTATCGCTCTCCGACATACTGGACGAGGATAAGCGAACTGCTGACAACCGCTTCCTAGAGACTCAGCGTCACTCCAGTGCTAGCTTTTTCCTTGGGCAGCAGTACCCGGACCGGAAAAGCCAGGAGAGCATCCTATCGGACGACTTCGGCAGCGGCGGAGTCAGCTACTGCAACAGCATGGAGAGTATCCTCTCGGATGACTCCGAATGCAAATCTGCTCCATTGGAAGTGCTCTTCGAACGGATCAAACGCGAACGCAACTACAGCAGTAACTACGAGTACAAACTTGAAGCCGGTTGCAACTCAAAGTCCTACGGATCAAGTCCGAACGCCGGTAGTGGATTCGATTACTTCATGCAGGGTGACTATTTCAATCAGGATACTCCGGAAAGTTACGCCCTCGAAAACATTGAAGCCAGCCGACGGATTGCCGAAACTCGATCACCTCAGCACAAACGCCAGGGCATTCCCGGTATGCCGACTTCGATCAGCTACCCTCGGTTTATATCAAGTTCAGCAATGGCTGCCTCCTGCATTGCTGAACAAGACTCAGAGGAAGACTTTATTCCTTCGTTGACTTCAAAAGCCGCCCAGTACGGAGGAGCAACCGTGAAAAGCCTTAGTAAGGACTTTGCCAATCAGCGGAAGCAAATGAACTCCAATCCGCTGTACAACTGCGAAGGTAATGAACTATTTGTTCGGAAGACGGTAAACGCGACGAACCAGGTTACCCGATCCGACATCTTCGGTACCGAGTCGTCCGTGTACGTGATGAAGAAGTCGTGTAGTTTTGAAATCGAAATGGGTGGTCGGAGGATTGCAAGGAATTCAAAAAAATTCGAGCAGAATTTGCAGCGTTTCGAGCAGGAACGGCAACAGTCGGACCGATATCAGCCTGGTGGGACGTTGGAGATGGATTATGTTCCGCATAAACCACCGGTAGCTCACCGACGATCGTCCAGCATGAAGGGTCGCGGTAGGGTGCGGTCCAAGGAAAAGTTCAACACCATCATCGGACAGATTGCGGCTTCGGGGTTCGAAGACAACAAGCTACGGGATTTTGTGAACAAAGACTACATGCCAAAGGATCTGTGCGTGCCGGGTTCTTCTCGAGGTAAGAATAAAGACGGGAGTGAGGAGAAGTCATTTGAAATCTACGTCGCCGAGAAGGGAGTATGCGAAGACGATAACATGGATAGTTTGGAACTACTGTCCAAGCAGGATTTGCGCAGCAGAGACCACTCCGTAGACTCGCTGGATAGTACTCATCAAGCACACCAGGAAGGCAAAGAACCCCCGGTTAAGGGTAGAACCGAATTGGAAAAGTTAATCGACTTCAGTCTGATGTCATCGGCTGAATACAGCAAATTCCTGGACATCGAAAAGAAGATCGACATCATCAACAAGCTGGTTGAGATGGAGGAGCGTAAACTGGAGCAGGGACGGCAGGCGAAGGAAAGCCGAATGAAACCGTTCGAGTGCGATTCTCGCCAGAAAGGCTACGTCAAGAGTTTGACCGAGAACTTCGACAAGCTGGCTAAGGACGCGCAGGAGGAGTTGGAAAACGAGAAGAGCTGGCACATGGCCGTACGGGCCAAGATGAAGCGGAACTTCAGCTTGCCGGACGTGCTGGAGGGAGCGAAGTTTCAGTCGTTCGATTTTGACGATGTCTTCAAGCAGAAGGACGAGGATGAACTGTCGGAAAAGGACGAGCACTCGCTGGGATATGTGGATGGTGAAGGTGTGAGAATGATGTAATTTTTTACTTGTACAGTTACTCCATATTGGTGTTTTCTATATGGAGATGCGTTCTATGATTTCATCTTTGTTCCATTTCATATTTTTGGTGGAATGTTCGTGAATGTGTTTTTTTTTTCTCTTTTGTTACAAGTTATCTTCTATTTCCGTAAATTCTGAGCAAGGATCGCGCGCAGATCGGAAGAAATGTTGCATGGAAGTCTTTTGTTTTAGGTTCGCTTATTCATCATCTCAATGTTGCCTATTTATGTTTATGGTAGAGAATTTTGCGTAGAAGCTTGCACTGTTGCTACTGTAGTTTGAGTTCTGTAATTGACCGTCACTGTTAATGTAGCGTAGGAATTGTGATTTTCTTAGAAATTCATATTCGGTTTTGAGCTTATGTTTATTTTAGTCAAGTTTGTAGTGTTTACCTGTATTACATTTGCGCCTAGCTAGGAACATCTTATTCAATCATTACCTAACTTTTAACAAATTTGCTAATCGACAATACTAAAATGCCAGTTGAGATTCATACTCTTTAGTCTGGTTGAATGATTATGAGTTGGCATTCAAAAGACTCTTTTAGTCCTGACTAAGATTAAAGGAAATATCAATAAATTTGTTGATGACTTTAAGGACATTCAACAGAGCATTCATAGATTTTTGTACTGGATAGTTAGGTAAAGATGCCTACAATTAGATCGAAGACAACACATCCAGAAGACTGGCATCTCTTTCAGAATTTAGGAGATAAAAACAATACTGCTGTGCTTTAGGAAAGTAGAACGACCACAAAGTAAAATAAGCAAATTTAACTCTTCGAGACGAGGAGACAATACGGGGGCGAAAACGAACCACTTTTCTGTCAAACGCGAACCAGCTCGTGATTGGCTGATTTGTAGTGCGTAAGATAGAGATAGAGATAGATATAGATGGAAATAGAAATAGAGATAAAAGAGTAAGAAGCCAGTTGTCTCCTCTTCCTCTTAGGCTTGTACCTTTGACTGGTAGATGGTGAAGTTGTGTCTGTTTCTTAGCAGGAAGAGGCCAGTTTTTTTTTTGTGATTATGTTGTCATCGATGAGGTTCTAATAAATGCCCGCCCTTGTTAGAAATAGTTAATCATGCATTCAACCACATAATTCGACCATCAAGTAGTAAGTTCATAACTGTAAAAATCCTCCGCAAGATGGTGCTAGGAGAAAAGTTGGCTTCGGCAATACCCTAACCTATTATCGTCAGGGGGGTAAACAACGTCCTTGAGAGCTCAATTTTGGCATGTAGATACATTGTGCTTCAGAGCAACTATTGACCAAATTTGAGTACTCTAGGACTTTGTTTACCCCCTGACGATAATAGGTTAAAATATTGCCGAAGCCAACTTTTCCCCTAATGCTTTTTTATATTTGAAAGAAATAGTTCTTTCCCTGTCATTCGATAAATCATTAGTTAACTTATGTTTCAAAAGAAAATCACAATGTCTCTACAATGCTTCTATCGCTCTAACGAAGACCTATAGTGTCTACACCAACTCTGAGATACCATCTTCAGCTGTATAAAAAATGCTTTCAGCTACTCATCAGCTGTCATTCCCGAGCAACGAACTCGTAATTTCCCATCAACCAACGTAAATGTTCTAGTTTCGCAATTCATCTTAATAGTCATTCCTGTAGACAACTTTTTAGCGTGCATCCAGTTCCAGCCAGAAACTAGATTGATACTCAGTAGCATTCTTTCACAGTAGTAGTAATTGCCTGTTGTAACTAAATGTTCCAAAAAATCATTCCTTCTATACACTGATAAATTCGAACTGACACTCAACTGATAATGTTCTAAAACTAAACCGATTTCTCTTTCAACCATTTTTTTTTTCTCTTCCAAAACAAAAATCTCTCTCAAATCCAAATCAAATGATGATGATGATGATGATGAAATTCCAAAAATACCGAAAACCCTACGTGAATTATTGATTATTGACAATATGCTCCATCCTCTTCCTCCCAAACCTCTTCGTTTTTTTCCGTGTGTAGGCGGTAATCCCCGAAGCTTAATCTCTGCGCAAGATAGTGATGAGTCAACGATTAGACGTGCTTGCTCGCTTAGTGATTTGAGTATGGGAAAAGGTAAAACCATAGATGAAGAAATTTTGATTTTTCTCCTATCTTTTTCGAAGAAAGTAAAGAATTAAGCCATTTTTAGTTTGTAAGAATTGCCTTATTAAGTTTAAGTTACTTTTACCGGTCTCACAGTATAACAGTTGGCTTTGAGTTTTGTTTTTTTTTCAATAGTTATTCAATCAAAAAATAATCAAAACAGATTTCAAGTTAAATTTTTCATTGACAAAAACCGTTTTTTGAGTGTTTTGATTGATTCTAATCCGGTTAGCTTATGATTGGCTTAATTTTACGATTGGAAGTATACTTTGGAGCGCTTTGCTAATCTTCGTCTGCATTTTGACAGCCACTAATTACAAACCAGTGCCTAGCAGTCGTGGTATAATCCAGCAACGGACTGCCCCGAAGCGAAGCACATCATCGGTTGGCAAAGGTGGTGCTTCCCTGGCGTCCGGTATGGGAGTGCGGAGCGTGTCCGTTGGAATGTTGAATCAAGCGGTAAGTTCTTTCTTTGAAATTGAAGATCTATGATTATTTTTAATTCACAATCATTTTACAGAGCGACTCGGAACCCGAACCGACAACCCGGGGAGGGCTCTTGAAACCGACCATCAGTTCCCAGAACAAAATGAATGGAACCAACAGCGTAGGACTAGGAGGAGGTGGTGGAAAGTACGTGAACCCCCGCAGTGCAGCTGGTATCATCAATCGACGGAAGGGATTGCAGAGCGCCTACAGTAGTGGTATGGCATCGAATAATAACAATTCAAGTCGAAAGTTTAACCTTCCGAGTTTCTAATTTGCAGTGAACATCGCGTCGGCCGCCCAGGATGAATCCAGCTCGGAAGAATCGCCCACCAGTACGGTAAGTACGGTGATGACCAAGCCGGCAGTTCCGCCCCGACCACGAAGCATCGCCCTAGAGCACAAACGGATAGCGAACGTGAATGCCAGTCTGAATGCGAAGAAAGCCCCCAGCACCAACATGGAGATGGAGACTATGATCAAGGATGGCGATTTGGATAATGCCGACTGTAATTTAACTTATATTCTAGAAATTGTTTACATTTTCTAACGAAAACCTCCTTCACCTCGTAGTAACCAACCAACTGTGCTCTAACATCATCAACCAATTGGTACAAACGACGACGTCGGTGATTCAGCTGCACCAGCGGCTAAAGTCCAACGATGAATCCGGTGGCGGAAGCGGAAGGAACAATTCACTCATGATCAAGGAACTGGAGAATGCGGTCATCATGACGCAGAACATGCTGACGAAAGTTACGAACAGGTGGGTTCGCTTGTTTACGAGTTTTAGTAGGGGATGAACAATTACCTGACGCATAGTTCCGCAATATTTACGTTCATTATGTCTATAAACCACGTAGCATTTTGTCTGATTGTAGACGAAAATCGTCCGTTCTTGGTATTTCTTTATCAGGACGTCGTCTTGGGGCAATCAGGTTTTTCTCAATTCTTTTACCTATTATCGTCAGGTGGCAAATGTAGTGCTTGAGTGCTCATTTTTTGTACAAGGATACCATCAATGAATCAGTCTCCGCTCATGCCCCACTTTAGTAAAAAAAAATGGCTATTTTTCGGATCTCTTGCAATAGGTAAATCAATTTGTATAGACATACTTACACGTTAAAAACCATTAACACTCATTGGTTATTATAATTTTTTGCTGAAATAAGTCCTATTGCTGAGAAAAACGTCTTTTTCAGTTGCATGATCGATTATGCCCCTCCTCCTATCTATAGAATACTGTGTCTTTTATCAAACCAAACGTTTGGTTTCGAATAAGTATACATTTAGTATAGCATTAATTCTAGATCAACAATTGAAATAGGCGGAACAACCAAACGTAAACAATGGCTTTAAACGCAAATTTCTCGAAAATCTAAATACATCCACGCAATATAACACCAGCATCTGAAAGAGGACACTTCCTTTATCGAATGGCTTTGTTGATTTGCGTGGTTGTATTTTGAATCTCGAGAAATTTACGTTTAAAGCCATTGTTTACGTTTGGTTGTTCCGCCTATTTCAATTGTTGGTCTAGAATTGACAATTAGGGGGATTCAGTTATTCAACTTCAACATCATTGTAAGGCGTCGAACCGTATGCATTTTCAAATGCTTGTTAAACATTAATTTGAATTTCCTACCTCGAGTTTAATGACCTTCTCCAACATCCCGACCATTAGATGGTGACGCATTTCCTCTGACTGCATTCATGTTTGTAGATTAGCATTGTAGTCCCTCCAACATGAATAATTATGCTATAGAACTGCTTGCTATGCCCCGCCCCCATCAGCAAAGAATCCGGGATATAATAATTGAGGCGCGGCATAGCAAGCCATTCCATAGCATTATTCTCCAAGTAGGAGGGACTTACAATGCTAATCTAAAAGCATGAACAGAGGTACCGTCTTTTTTTTTAACTCTTTATTTGTTTCAAATTCAAAATAAATTACATTTCATTTTAACCTAGGTGCTCCAGTTACTGCAGTAACGTACCAGCCTTAATTGTTATGATATATATCTAAATGTTTTTACATTGTTCATGTCTTGGCAATTCAGTATTTTAAACAGGTTTTTTTTAACCTGCATGTCAGTATAACAATTGATATCTTAAAACTAAAAACTAAAACTAATCTTATCTAAGTATAAAGGGAATTAATCGTTGCAATTGAGGATTGCAACGACTTTTGCCTGAAATTATTAATTATTTTGTTGGACATTTGTTCTAAAGTCTCAACATTCGAAATTCTATGTACTTCGGTAGTACTGTACCAGGGAGGCAACTTCAAAATCATTTTCAGAATTTTGTTCTGAATCCTTTGAAGTGTTTTTTTTCTGGTAGTGCAGCAACTAGACCATATTGGCACAGCGTAAAGCATGGCCGGTCTAAAAACTTGTTTAAATATTAGAAGTTTATTCGTCAGGCAAAGTTTGGATTTCCTGTTTATAAGAGGATACAAACATTTAATATATTTGTTACATTTAGCTTGAATGCCCTCAATGTGATCTTTAAAAGTTAATTTTTGGTCAAGTATTAATCCAAGATATTTCACTTGGTTTGACCAGGAAATTGGAACTCCGTTCATAGTGACTATGTGACTACTACTAGGTTTCAAAAAGGAAGCTCTAGGCTTATGTGGAAATATTATAAGTTGAGTTTTGGAAGCGTTGGGAGAAATCTTCCATTTTTGTAAATAAGAAGAGAAAATGTCTAAACTTTTCTGCAGTCTGCTGCAAATAACACGAAGACTTCTTCCTTTAGCTGAAATGCCTGTGTCATCAGCGAACAAAGATTTGTGGCAACCCTGAGGCAAATCAGGGAGGTCCGAAGTGAAAATGTTATACAATATAGGCCCAAGAATGCTACCCTGAGGAACTCCTGCCCTAACAGGTAGTCGATTAGATTTGGAATTTTGATAATTTACTTGAAGAGTTCTGTCAGTTAAATAATTTTGAACTAATTTCATAATATAAAGTGGAAAATTAAACTTTTTCAATTTAGCAATCAAACCTTCATGCCAAACACTGTCGAATGCTTTTTCTATGTCTAGAAGAGCAACTCCAGTTGAGTGGCCTTCCGATTTGTTTGAACGAATTAAATTGGTAACTCTTAAGAGTTGATGAGTAGTTGAATGCCCATGGTGAAATCCAAACTGCTCATCTGCAAAAATTGAGTTCGTATTAATGTGAAGCATAATTCTATTTAAAATTATCTTTTCAAAAAGTTTACTTATTGAAGAAAGCAAACTTATTGGAAGGTAGCTAGAAGCTTCAGCTGGATTTTTATCCGGCTTCAAAATTGGAACAACTTTTGCATTTTTCCATTTATCAGGAAAGTATGCCAAATGGAAACATCTGTTAAATAATTTTACCAAGAAAGACAAGGTATTCTCTGGGAGTTTTTTGATAATAGAAATAGAAAATTCCATCATCACCTGGAGCTTTCATATTTTGAAACTTTTTAGTTATAGACCTTACTTCGTCCAAATCAGTCCCCCAGGAATCATCAAAAATATTTTCCCGAGAGAAAATATTCAGAAAATCCCGAGCAACCTGATTCTCAATAGGACTAGTAAGACCCAAACTGAAATTATGGGAACTCTCGAATTGCTTAGCAAGTTTCTGAGCTTTTTCCAAATTTGTGATCAAAATTTTACCACCTTCTTTAAGTATTCCAGCGCTTAAAGAAGGTGGTAAAATTTTGATCACAAATTGAGGTTTTGAGGTTTTTTCAAAATTTTTGTGAGTTTCCAAAAGGGTTTGGAACTCGGGTCTAATTTAGAAATATTATTTTCAAAAGTTTTGTTCCTCAGGGCAGAGAATCGCTTTTTAATTTGTTTTTTGCAAATCCCGCCAGATAACTTTCATGGCAGGATCGCGTGTTCTTTGAAATTGTCTCCTACGGACATTTTTTAAGACGGATCAAGAGCTGAAGATCGTCGTCTTTTATAATTGAATCAAAATACTACTGCTTCAACTATAGAAGTAGTCAGAGATTCAAGAGCATAATTAATTTCATCTTTGGTTTGCAAAGGAATGTTTGGATCGAAGTTATATTCCTTAAATGTTCGATACTGCTCCCAATCATCTCTATGGTAATTGAAAGTAGAGCTGTTGGGATTATAAATTATTTCTTGGGATATTTTAAAAGTTACTGGAAGGTGATCAGAACCGAAGTCAGCATGGGTAACCAATTGGCTACAAAGTTGACATGAATCAGTTAAGACCAAATCAATAGTGGAGGGATTTCTTGCAGAAGAAAAGCATGTTGGGCTGTTTGGATATTGAATAGTGTAATAACCTGCAGAACAATCATCAAACAGAATATTACCATTGGAATTGTTTTGAGCATTATTCCATGAGCGGTGTTTTGCATTAAAATCACCAATAATGAAGAATTTAGACCTATGACGGGTAAGTTTCTGGAGGTCACCCTTGAGAAAATTCTTTTTCTCGATCGAGCATTCCAATTTACAATATTTAATGCTTTAAAATCCATTACTGAATTTTAAGGTCATGACAATATTATTTGCAAATTTTACTCCAGTTTGAATAGCATCAAACATGGAGTTAGATTTAAGCATATCAGAAATCATGTCAATTAATGAATTCTGTAAAAATTCCATTTTGGGGGCAGTAATGCTTCCTAAGTCAAAATTGTCAAAATTTCCGTTAGAACGTTGGTTAGTATTTTGATTTCTACCCGCTGCAATAGCAGCATAGGTAGCTCCATTAACTCGCTGAACATTGTTAGCAGCGAGGGGAGTAGGTACAGATGAAACATTTGAAGCAGGGGTGATATTTGTACCTACGGGTACGAATGTAGAATTTGTTCCTCGCTGACCGTTGTTAACAGCAGAGGAATTTGTACCTGGTCGGAAACGTGGAGCGTTTCCTACCTGACGGTTAGAACGAGATTGTAGGATCGCTTTGCGAGTCTTACATTCCCAAAAATTGGATTTGTGGTTTTCACCACAATTTGAACATTTAAATTTCTTAGGATCTTCCTTCACAGGACAGTCGTCCTTTGCGTGAGAGGAATCACCACAATTCATGCATTTGGCTGGCATGTAGCAATTTTTAGTTCCGTTACCCCATCCCTGGCACTTACGGCACTGAGTGAGGTTTTGGAAATTTCCTCCAGTCTTCCTGAAGTGTTCCCACTTCACTCGGACATGGAGCATAAGGCTAGCTTTTTCTAAGGCCTTTAGGTTGTTTAGTTCACTAGACTTGAAGTGAACTAAATAAAAATCATTAGAAATCCCGTTGCGTGAATCGCCAGGACGGGATTTCATTTTCATTTTGATTACTTGGAGTGGCACAACTCCAAGTAATTTTGCCAGTTCATCTTTGATCTGATCCAGGGATTCACCGCTGGGCAGTCCTTTCATGACAACCTTGAACACACGTTCAGTTTTGGTGTCGTAAGTAAAAAATTTGTGCTTCTTCTCAGTAAGATACTTGAGAAGACATTTAAATCCGTCCAAGGTTTCAGCCAATACACGGCATTCACCCCGGCGTCCAATTTGTAGTGAAAACTTAACTTTCACGAAATTCAAAAGTTCCATGCGAAGAGAATGGAAATCGGTAGTGGTTATCACAATAGGGGGAATCTTTTACTTCTTGGCATTAAGCCGGGAAAGTTTACTAGAATTTTTCTTGTATGATGGATCATTCTCATCATCCGTGAGCAAATCAAATTGATTATTCAAATTAATTTCATCCGAAGGGGGGTCAAGAGTTTGCCCCTTTCTTTTGCGTTTAGGCGCCATGGCGGCAGTAAATTTTTATCCAAATCGACTTCCAAGCAGATTACTATAAGAATCTGAAGGATCGAAGAGGAATTTTCCAAATCGATATCCAAGAAGGATTACCTCGGGTAGGGTCCAAACAAGGATCGAAGAGGAATAAGGGTTGAACAAGGTAGAAATTTTTTACAGGTTGAGCACTGAAAAGTGCTGTTTAAATTTGTTGTAGCTTTAGGTAGTAGTAACACTTCCTTCAGCAAAAAGCAAATAGATCCGCACGGCAAGAGAGCACGATGCGGACTGATAGAGGTACCGTCTGATAATTTCAGTGCTTGGTACTGAAATCTGTAATCTGTGATAGGGAAATCACTTTTTTCCCATCACAGAAACATCCCGTTTTCTTTTGCAAAATAATGGATATGCGTTGATAAAACACCCGAGATACTCGCGATCAATAACGAAGAAATTTTGCATAAAATAGGTGCAAACATGTGCAACCCGTTTTTTGTGTGCTTTTTTTTGCGTTTTGAAGCTCTACCTACCAAGCCCTACCTTAACTACCTTGAAAATTTACTCAAAACCCTTTACAAGATTTTATTAGAATATTCTCATGCATTTCCTTTGGAATCATTTCCCTTCATAGGTATTATCGCTATACGTTTGAGATTCTCTCCCAGCGCAGTTTTATAACTTTACAGGCACAGATAAACAGACATAACGCTCGCAAGTTGTTCATCGAATAAGCATTTAACGGACAATTTAAAAGTATCGTAGTTCGTAGTGCCGCCACCTGTGGCGCGCATAGTCGTTTGACGTTTACACACTACAGCCATCTGTTCAGCGTACTACCCACCACAGTGTACTCAACAGATGGCGGTAATGTTTAAGCGACGATGTTTTACAATGAGAAATATTCCATGTGTTATGTCTGTTTGTCTGTGCTAGAACTGTGATGGAGTGGTACGAAGCAAATCAAGTGAATATTGTACCAAAAACCGGAAATCCGCCATTATTGTGTCCGGATTATTGTGGATACAGACTTTATTACCAATCCGAGGGCGGCGGATTTGACTCTCGGTCTGATCAAGTCTGATCTTTCGGCTTAGAAACTTTATCGACTTCATGCATTCATGCATAGGAAACTCTCAATTAATCACATCGTCTGGCAATTTTCACAGAGATGGCGCTGTTTCGCTGGTAGGAAGTGATAAAAATCCCCATATAGAAATTAACAGAAGCAGGAATAATTCGCTTTCGGTGCATATTTAGATAAAAAAAAAGTGAACGACAACTTAAATAAATTAGTCAGGGACTCTGTCGTTCAGTTTTTTCCCGGAAATTATTGTTAAATAAGCTACAAATAAATAAAATGATTTTTCCCCATACAGTTTTACCTGCTTTACTATCAGTACCCAGAGAGCCAAAAAATTCCAAAAGCCAAAAAGAGAGAAAATTTGCCCTCACGACCTCAATCTCTCAACACGTCATGTATTTTGATGACACTCGATTTGTGATTTCCCTTTCACAGATTACAAAATAGGCGAATCCAATAGGAACTAAGCGATCGTTTCAGCCTCTGGTGGTGAATAAGGGAACCATCAAAAGAGTGATGAGGGCTGAAATTTTCGCCGTGAAGCATACGAAGAGGAAAATGTTTTTACCTTTTCTGATTAATTTATCCATCACAGGTGTTTGTAATCATCATCCACATGGAATATTTTGTTTCCTGTATCGATTTTGCAGTGATCCGGCTGGTTCTTCAACATATTCTTGTTAAGAAAGTGAAGATTTATAAAACTATCCCAGCGGTTATGATCTTTCGGATTTTTGATGTGGTGTTATTTGAGCTGTAAATCCGTTCATACATGTGAAAAATACTAAAATAAGACCCCTACCGATGAAAATATGCAAGATACGCATAACAATATGCATTAGTTTGAAATGTAAAAAATGTAATTTCGATGTAAACAAACGGTTTGGATTACGTTTCCTCTCATAATCGCTTAGCGCACTCTACATTGGTGGTGCCTTTTTTATACAGGGAGGAATCTGCTCCCAGACACCTGAGAAGATAACTCAGGGTGTGAGTATGGGAGATGTAGCGCTCCCGACCCACTAAACCTTATCCTGTGCTCTAGGCTATGGCGCATCACTAAGTGTTGTGTCAGATGTGACACTCGCTACTGCACAGTGAGCAGCTGTGCAGGGCATTCCTCTTGTTGATCGCTGTTAGTTGTTCGCCTGAGTTCTAGAGCAGACGTGATAGCCAGCCAACTGTCCAGGGCCAAACAGGACAGATGTGACCGCTTACCAGCTGCGTGTGCTAAGCACTCTAAGAACCCGGTGTCACTCCTGCCTTTGCACAACGAGGGTTTGTGCAGGGTTTATCAACCTCCTGGGATGAGCTGGATGGGGTTCCAACGTCCTTACTCTGCGGTAGTTCGTTTAGCCGCAATATCTCTTCCTTGGGTTCGATAATTAACGTTTCCAGGGCACACCACGAGGAAGCGAACTACTTCATGCCCCTCATTGGTGGTGCCTAGAAACAGCCTATAGAGTGCCTAACACTACAAAACATGTCTGGTACCTCTATATATGCATTTAGATTAACATTCGTAGTCCCTCCTTTTTTACATACTTTGCACAAAAGATACTTTCTGCTCCGCCCCCATTCATAAAAATCGGTGGGAAATTCTGTGAGGGGTGAGCTATTTTGTGTGCAGAATGTGTAAAAAAGGAGGGACTTCAGATATTATTCTAAATACATATATAGAGGTACCAGACATGTTTTGTACTGCAGTGTCCTCTGTGTACAATTAACGGAAAAGAGATTGTGTGTTGTTTCCGATAGATGTCACCGCAAACAATAGCAGTGACATCGGATGGAACATGAAAGCAGAAGCTTGACAAAATGAATAATTAATACCTGTGGAAGTGCTGCAAAGAATGCTAAGTTGAGAGCCGTGGTAGATTATTGTGTTGTAAAATTCGTATCAAATTAACCTCATCTTCGCTTTTCAGGAACATCGGTGGCGACAGCATCAACCTTAACAACAGCACCAGTATGTACGAAAAATGCAACGACATTCTGAATCAGGTGCAGAAGCACGTGAACAACAACGGCTGAATTTCGGCAAAAGTAACAGCAGCAGCAGCAGCAACAGCAATATCTACGACTCGTAACTGCCCAGGATACACTCTTCTAAAATATCACACTAACTGTGTAACATTCTTCCAACAACATTTTTCCCGTTTATTCGTACATTTTTCCAGTCTAGGTCTAGGTTTAAGAACAAGGAACAATGAAAGTTACAAGTGTCGTGTGGTTGTTTGTCCGAAATTGTGAATGTGATTTTAGATTCTTTTCAAGCAGGATTCCCGGAGGATAGAACAGACAATTAATCAGATCAGCTTTAAACAAACCCACAGAAAGCTGCATGTGTGAATTGTGAAACTTTAATAAACACTCAAGCGCTGAAAGTTTTCTTAACAAGGGAAATCAAAGGAATTGGGTGTGATTACGAGAACAAATATGCTGTTGAAAAAATTAAACGTTGCGTCCAGTTTAGTTGATAGTTGATTAGGTTTTATCCAGTTTCTTAGGAACAATAACGATTAGATTAGGTTGCGGTTTTTCCTCAATAGTTGAGAGGAAAATTCTGTTCGATGAAGGAAGACAAAAAGCCATATCTAGATTTGTTAGTTGAACGTTGAGTAGAATCCTTCTTTTCCGTTATGCCGTTATCAGAGATGATATAGGTCAATGTCGTTTTTAGCGCGCTTTCAGCTTTTTTAATCTAAATTATTAACGATTACTAGTTAGTAGGGAGTACAGTTATTTTAGTTACATTAGGTTTATTAATTCTAGTGGGGACGGAATGGGTTGCAGAGTTGAAGCAAGGCCATGTCCATTTTTCTGACGGCCAAAGGGTCCACCCGATTTTGGATGGGAATCGTTTAGCTTGAGGATGTTCCCTTTTTACAAGTTAATGAAATTAATGTTTGAACATACTAGCTGTACAGTGTAGGTTCTAATCTATTGGAAAACAACTCGTTTAACAAGTTTCTAGTACTTTTGAATGGTAACATATGGAATAACCACTTAATACTTATTAAATCATATTGATTTATCCTACTAATTAATAGGCAAAGTTTTAAGAGCAACCAGAACAGGATATACACTCTTTCCGATACCTACTCGAAATCCAGCATGTCTTTCTGTGTTTTGTTTCCATTCAGAGCCAATAATTTTATTTAGAAAATATGAAAATCAGTTTTTTTATTTCTAAAAAAAATATTGCAATGTTCTAAACAAAATCACAGAAACCTCAGAAGAAAATCAATTCTACAAAACAAGGTTCAACACAGTCAAAAAAAAAACAGTGATTTCATCATAGATACAAACTTTGCTTTCCACCACTCACCTCAAAGTTCATCGTAACACTTTGTATACTCACCTTAAATAATGTTGAAACATTGGAAACAGAATGGAAGTAAGACACTCACCACAAAACTACCTTGTCATGCAGCAAACTAACTAACTAAACTAATAATCGGTAAGCAAGGCAAACAAACAATCGAAGGCTATTAATAACAAACAAACAAACATCTTTGACAACAAAGCAACAAATCAACCTTACTTAGCTTTTAAACTGTTAAGCTTTAGTTAACCTTTTCAGAGAAGCACTAGTAGAGCGAACATCATTGAAAATTAACACAACAAACAAAAACTAAAACTTAAGAAATGAGACAGAACAACGCTTATGAATCCATTCAAATGGACTTACTATAGGAGGTAAACCGGTGGAATTGGTGAGGAATTTATCCCGAACATATGCCAACACACAACAAGTGAAGAAGCCACGCACGTAAAAGTTGATGATGGATTTTGAAACATGTAGAATTATTTCCTCTTTTTTGTACGATCATAGTAGGAGGTAAACGTGGGAAGGCAGCGAAATGCAACTTACACTACTATTAAACTACTCTCAACACAATGCATTGGAAGAAACTAATTCGAGGGAAACGAGAAGAAGAAGAAAATATATTTAAAAAGTCATATTTTAAAAACCAAATAAAACCGTAGGCGTTTGTTCTTTTTCCCTGCTTTGAGTCTCTAGTTAACAGATGCTTCCATACAATAACCAATTCTAACACCCAATTTGCTTTCTTTTCTGTACAAACACTAGAGCGCTGCTTGGTACGAGGGGCACATCTCTGCTTCCCAAGTGTTGCTAGGCTTAGGAGGGCAGATGATCGTGAAGAAGAAGAAGATGAAGCTGATGGGCTTGGCAGAAACCGTATTCCTTCTTTAGATGGGGCTTGGTGTTTAGAGAAGTGCAATGCAGTGTGCCGTGGTCGAACGGATTTGAGCGGAGGTGAGTTACAACTAAGCAAACTAATTTTCCCCTAATATATGCTCGTCTAACGGTAGATTTTATACGGTCCTAAAAGTCATAAGTGAATAAAAGTAAGTTGTTAGGTTGATGAGTAATAAAACTAGTGTAAATAGAGAAGCATAGCGGATCACATTCAACTGATGATAGTGTATATAGCGATAAAATAAAGATCAGCCGTTGTTGTTCAATGATAGGTACTGATTTGATGTCTTCGAAAGTCCATTTGGGGGGTTATCAAATCTCGTAAATTTTATCTAAATTTAACGAAAAGATTGAAGTGGGATGTTTTCACGAAAAATCGACGTGCAGATTTTTTAGAGTGTATGTATATGATTGAATAAAATTAAATGAGGTACCGTGATGTGCCATAATTTCGCACATTGCCTTAATTGGAATATTTTCTAAATTATTATTTTTTTCATACACTAGTAAATAATAGCCCCATAGCACATTATTTTGGAATGTTTAACAAATTGCGCGAAATTACGACATTAGGTGCGTGAAATTATGGTACTTTAAGGTACAATAATTATCTTAAACAGTAGACTCGGAAGTGTGGAATTTGAAATTAAAAACATCAAAAAATGGGTCTGGTACATTTGGCACAAGAACGTTTGGCAAAAGGACATTTAGTATAAAGACGTTTGGCATAAATGACACTTGGCATAACTTGGCCGGGACCAACGGCTTTACTTCCCTTCCGAAGGAAGACGTGACCAAAAATGTTTATGCCTTAGAAAAATCCCAACGACCTCGGACCCATTGGGGTGAGAAAGTAGTCACGCTTAACACTACACCACCGGCGCGGTTCTATAACATTCCCCAGAAAACCATTCCCCAGAACCTCATTCCCCAGAATGCACCAGTCCCCAGAAAAGCATTCCCCAGAATGAACCATTCCCCAGAAAAGTATGCCATGTATTAGATTGACTATTTTTGTTTATTATAGTCACTCCTGGAATCTTCTTTCGCGTATATAAAAAGAAGAGAAAAACTTCTGAATGGATCAAGTGCTTTTCCCTTCTTTGAAAATATAAGAAATGGAAATAATTAATTCTTTTGATATACGATAAAGAAGGGAAATATTCCCTTCTTTTAACATATAAAAGAGAACATAATTAATTCGTTAAATATACGATAAAGAAGGGAATATTCCCTTCTTTTAATATATAAGGAAAATATATAATCAATAGTTTTTCGCAAGGGTTTCGGGGTAATGCCCATTCGGGATAATAACGTGTGGAATAATGTTATAAATTTGTAATCGGTAGTTCAACGTTCCATGCACCGATTTTTTAATCCATCACGAGAAATTCTTCAACTCAGGTCGAACAATTCTTCGATTAGGTTTAACAGTTTTCGACTGGTTGAATTGGATTGCATAATAGATCCTTTGACTTTTTAAATGACGAACGAAGTGCTCGAAAACTTGAAGGTTGTCATTTTTTAAAGAGCTAAATCAGTGCTAACATTTGAAAACGGCACAAAAGCCATTTGTAAACAAATGGTTTGTGGGCCCTTTACTCACTACTTGAAGTACACCCACGCGACTCAAAGCAACATCGGGTAGGGGAAATTTTCCCCTTCCTGACGATGCTGTTGGTTTGCGTGGGCGTTCTTCGGGTAGCGAGTAAAGGGCCCACAAACCATTTGTTTACAAATGGCTTTTGCGCCGTTTTCAAATGTTAGCACTGAAATAATGGTTTGGAATTGATAAATACATAGTACCATAAAAGTAAACATAGTGTATTATCAATACTAAAAAAAAAAGAAAAGTGAAAATTAATAATTTCATCATCTTTTCTGGGGAATGGTACATTCTGGGGAATGTTTTTCTGGGGAATTATATAGAATCCACAGGCGCCGGCACGACCTTTCCATGGAGCTGACGGTTGGCAGTTCCACTTCGGCGTTTATTTTAAGGCTTCCGATTCGTCGTCAAGGTGTCCCTGTACGTTTTGGGCACCGTATGGCGCGTTTCTAGGAAAATTCAACATTTTAGCCAGCTTGGACCACGATGGATTATTTTGCTTTAAATCTTGATTTAAAAATCGAGATCAAAGTCTATGGGTTCGAAAAAAATATCGATGTGCTCAGACAACGAAGCTTTATCAGATGATACCTATATAAAAACCGATAAATTTTACGAAAATAATGTACCCAGTTAAGAATGTTAGACAACATATTGCATAATAAGATTTGACTCAAGACAGATTCTCTCCACTTCCCCTAGGGAATCCGGAACATGTCCGAATGTAGCCAATTTAGTTCTTATGATCCCAAATGGTTATGGCTCTGAATTCTCATGTGATTTGGTTTTTCTGGGTTTGTCCAGGAAAAAATCCCGAATATGAGAAAAGTAAAGATTGAATTCACTCATTCTATTGGTACTACTCCTAGACTGAGTAAAATTTTCGTCAATTTTTCTCATTTTTCGGCAGATTTATGAGGTTTTCCACAGGAAAGCATGAGGCAAATTCATTCCGCTGAGTTTCTGCCCTTTCTGCGATGATGAGTAACCTAAACTCACATTTGGGTTATTTTCATTTGCATTTCTCAGTTCCTAGCTAAATTTAGTCAAACTCAACTCAATTTTGAGTTGTTTTCATCGTCCGTGTACTTCTTTTATCCGAATTGTCAGTTTGAAGCGGCAGATGGCACTGTATCGAAAAGTACATGTCCTTGCTCACGAAACAGATTGTGTGCGATGTTGCTGTGAAGTACTAGATTATCAAACGATAAAAACGACCATTGAGTCGAACTCAAATTTGATTTTCGTTTACTCAAATTCGCAATAAGTAAAATTTTCCTCGATTTTCCTAAAATATCTGTTTGATTGGAAATTGATGAAAATTTTAACTAGCACGACGAATGCGAACGACTCAAATTTGAGTTAAGTTTACTCATAAATCACATAAAGTGCAGGAACTCAACGATGAGTAACTTGACCTCATGTTTTTCCAGTTTTTTTCCAGGAAGAATTCGAAGTTTAATGGAACTTCCTGGAGACGCTGGAAGAAACTTCCTAAGGTAGATTAGAAGAAACTTCTGGATAATGTTGGATGTTAGAGGGTTTACGAAATAGTCGAAAGAAACTTCAAGGAGAAGTTGAAGAAAAATCTGGAAGAAAGAGTTCTGGGGGATGTTACCACAATATTCCCCGAGGTTACGTTTTATAATGAATCTGTAATTTTCATGATATTCATAAAACGTCCCTGAAAACCCGCAGTGTCCCTGAAGTTAGATTAGATTAGATTTCATTATTAAAGAAACTTTCAGCCGTAGTCTCCGTTTCGTCTCTGGAAAAGAATTTATGAAAATACAATTAATCCAAATTCATTTTCTTCATTCATTTTCTTCCTTATTTTTGCTGCTCGTCTTTATTGGTGAGTTCGGAACTGACAATTCGTCTTCTATGCCTTCCATTGAATTTTCATTTCCTGCTGATCCATCATTCTGGTAACCCTGGTTCGTAACATTTCGTTTCGCATTGTTGTGTTTTTGTTTCGTTGACAACCTTCGTTTTGAATGTTTCGAAACATTCCTGACATGCACTTCAGCCGGCGCCGGTGGTGTAGTGGTAAGCGTGACTGCTTTCTAACACCCCGATGGGTCTGGGTTCAATCCCACCCGAGGTCGGTGGGATTTTTCTGAGGCATAAAAATCTCTGGTCACGTCTTCCTTCGGAAGGGAAGTAAAGCCGTTGGTCCCGGCCCATGTGTGTTGAATGGGTGCGATATCCTACGCAGGTGTGGAAGCTGCCTTCCTGCACATTCGATTACCGTCAATGGATGGCAATCGATGTCCGTCGGTGTCCGTAGATTGCAGAACAGAGACCGACGTTAAATAAAGGAAAGAAGAAGAAGAATACATGCACTTCGGAATATCCCATAATAACTCGAAACTCCTTGAAAGTTCAGCAATTTCCCTGAAGTTAATACGGTTGTTTATAGTTCTCTGCTCATCCTTGAAATATGTACTCGAAAATCTCTCATAATTTTCTTGATATTAATGGAACATCAGCATTGAAGTCCTCCGATCTTCCCGATTATATTATTTTTTAAAAGTTCTCGTAACTTCCATTCAAAAGCACGGAACTAATGCAAAATTTTCTTATGTTCATGCAACTTCCCTTAAGTTTCTAAAACTTCTTCTAGGAACGTTTTTAAAGCTTTAGGATATTCCTTAAGTTTATCGGAACAACCTTTCAGCAATTTCCTTGAAATTAACTGATCTGTCCTGATGTTCTCAGACCTTCCCTAAAGTTCTCTCAATTCTCATGAAACAAACGGAACTGTTAAATTTACCTGATGTTCTTTGGATTTGCGAAGTTTCCGAAAATCCTGGGTTCTCGAATTTCAACAGAACAGAAGTTATCGGAACTTACCCTAACAGATCTTTAAACTTACCCAAAAGTCAGGACTTTTCTGAAGTTTCAGAACATCTTAAAAGTTTCTGCAGTTTTCCTGTAGCTAATGAAAGCTCTGGAACCAATCCTGATGTTCCGGGGCAGTTGCATAAACGTCAGGCGGGAGAAGACGGAAGAACCTTTGGAGCGGAGCAAGAAGAAATTTCCAATGGAAGTCGAAATAAACTTCCAGGAGGAATCGGAAACTAACTAACGAGGTAAGGTGGAAGATAATTCTAACGGAATGTTGGAATAAACTTTCAAGGGTAGATTAAATAAACTAAAAAGGATCGTACCTATTTTTTCACTCAGCAAAATTATTTCTCGATTCTCAGGAATTACCGGGATGAGCCATCAACTGATCTCAGATACCTGGCTAGCTAAAACGGCAAGGAAATGAAAGCACTAGAGTATTAAGTAAAGACATTTTTATAGATGAATGAAGGCTCAAACAATTTCAGATATCCAACAAGATAAAAGTCTCTCACAAAAGTTTTTTTTTTAAATGTTTACTTAAAGATGATGTTCTTCAATTTTGGTCAATTTTAAAGTGTCCATTGTGTTCAATATCATAAAAGTTAGCATTTTTGATAAGCTTCGAACAAGCGCTATTTTCGTGCTATGATTTATTGAAAAATATCAAAAACGCCAATTTGAAAAAAAAATAGGCTATCGTCAAATTCCAGCCCAAACTTGGTTCATTGTCCCTAGCAAAAAATTATGCGAAGTTTTATAGAATTCTGGAAGAATGATTGAGCTCATAAGCTGAAAACTCTTCCGTAGACTGTATTACAGAATCCGTACATGCGTTGATCTATTACAGATTATGAATATCTTTCAAACATAACTAAATGAGTATCTTACATTCTCCGGTTTCGCATTCTCAACTTACAACTCATCCGCATTCAATTTTGCCGACATCAGTTTTACCAAATCCTTCACTTCCCCAAACGTACGATCTATTTTCGCTATTTGCTTCCCTAACATCCCAACGTTATCCTCAATCCTTCGCAAATCTTCCTGCTGCTTTTCAAGTGTCCTATGAATCTGCCAATTCTGCTGCTTCACTACAAGCAACCTCCGGTCGGCTCTCCGTTCCGAATGATAGTCACTCCCGACACAACAAACGTTCTTCACAAATCGCCTGCAAGTCTGACGGTCCTGTTGCACCACGAACTTGACCCGGGGATGCTTGTCCTGTAGCCAGCTGCAACTCCAGGGATTCCTATCGCCGTACAGTTCCAGCTCCGGGCCCTGATAGGAATCGTTGAAGTAGCTTTCAAGGTATTCCAGTTTGTTGTCTTCGACGTGTAGCTTGTTTAGTTTGGGTGTCTCCATACCTAGTAGCTCCAGTTGCTGGAGACGGCAGGATTCAAGTCTCAAAACTTCCAAAGCTGGCAGGTAGACTTGAGTAAGGGTTCCTAATTGAAGATCGTTGAATCTGAGATCCAATACCTTTAGCTTAGATAGCCCATTGAATCGACTCATTTCCACGTATTCCAGCTTATTATGGCTCAGAATCAACTGTTCCAACGATCGTAACCGGCCAGTTTTCATCGGAATGGACTTCAACTCGTTGTGACTTAAATCTAGCTTGAGCAAATTGGGAAGATCGATGGTTCTGATTTCAAGCTCCTGAATGTAATTCGCACTCAAGTCAATGGTTTCAAGTTCGCGTAATCCACTGAGCTCCGTAAGATTTATTTTCTCCAGCTGATTATTGGCCAAATCAAGCGATTTTAAACGCACCAGTTGATTGATACGACGTGGAAGATTTCTCAGCTCGTTGTCCACTACGGCTAGCGTATGGATAACGTATTGAAGGTCCGCATCGATTACGATCTTCCGAGTGTGAGCCTGGGATAGAAGAAGATTCTCCAATACCGGGAAAAGGTCAACCTCGTGCAGATTGGATTCGTAGATGAACAATTTCTCCACGTTAGCCTTCGTTGAAAAGAACTTCGGTAGTGAGAACGATCCGTTGACACCAATCAGACTGAATTTGCTAAAACTGGGAAGCTGCACAGTGGTCAAATCTGCCGAGCTGTTCCATTTTTGCCGTGGCATTACTATTATGCATGTTGCGTCCGCTGCAGAAATACGAGAATCTGTTGCTGCTCCGTCACATTCTACTTGCAGGGCCTTTGGTTCTGTCCGAATCGATCCCGCCAGGAAGGAAATTCTACAAGACGAGAACTATTAAGTGAAACTTCGATGTTAATTACACTAGGAAAAGGTATGTTAATTACACTAGGAAAAGAATGATCATCTCTGATTGACGGCTGAGGCTGTACTGTGATTCGATTCATTTGTAATTCATGTGATAAGATGGTGCATTATCAGGATGAAATGGATTACGAGTGTACGAGCTCTGATTGTTTTTGCCTTTAAGTCAATACTACTTCTTACCTATCGGGCTGTCCATAAACCACGTAGATAGTTTTTGACAGATTTTAGACTTTCAACCGCCCTTCACTGCTCTCGCTGCATGACAATCAAACTTTTTTTTTTTCAAATCAATCTCAACCTTTTGAATCTACGCCGAACGGAAGATTGCCAACAAACAATTCTGTGCCAATATTTCAAAGGGGCGTAATTGTATAGGTAAACAATGGCTTTAGCCGTCGATTTCTCGCAACTAAAAGATCGCACGTAATAATTAATTACACCAACAGGTGAATGAATGTTTCCTCTACCAGCTAGCATTGTTAATTTGGAGGAGTGAGCTTTTATTTGCGAAAAATCGACGGCTAAAGCCATTGTTTTTAAAAGCAATTACGCCCCTTTGAAATGTTGGCACTGAATTTGTGTTTTTACCTGTAGTTTTAATTAGTTTATAATTCAATGTTCAATACGCAACAATGCTATAAGAAATATTAATCTACCAACTTCATCTATTGTTTTGTGTTTATGCCCTGTATTGTTTTGTTTTCTTCGGCTGCTCGATGTAGGTTGCCCGCTGAATGTCAATCGGATTCAATCTCTCTGATGGCCACGGGTGTGGCTGACGTTCACATTGGCGGAGCATTATCGCACAATTTTTAGCTGAAGAAGCATCTACAGATCCTGCTCATATAAATGGTTCCCGTCTTCAGCAAAGTTGTTCAGATTGATAAGGCTTATCCAGAGACAAAGAGTTAAGCTCAAAATTCACTCACCACGCAGCGTGACATTCATTTTGAATTGTGTGTCAACTTGACTAGATAGAATGTTCCCCTTCTTGGGCAATGTTGTTCAGATGAACAAGACTTATTTTATGGTAAAGAGTTTAGTTCAGAATTCACGCACCAGGCAGCCTAGTGTGACATTCATTTTTCATTGTTTGCGCTTACTTAACATATGGGCTAAATACACGGCCCATGAGAATAACCTAAATTTGAATATAGTTTACTCATAAATCGCAAAAAGTGCAGGAACTCAGCGATGAGTAAATTTGCCTCATGTTTTTCCAGGTTTGTCCAGGAACAACTTCGTGAGTATGAGAAAAGTAAAGATTGGATTCACTCAGTCTATTGGTACTACATCTAGACTGAGTAAAATTTTCGTCAATTTTCGTCATTTTCCGGCATATTTTTGAGCTTTTCCACAGGAAAACATGAGGCAAATGTACTCATCGCTGAGTTCCTGCACTCAAATTTGGGTTGTTTTCATTGACCGTGTAGAAGGTTTACATCTTCGGAAAAATTGTTCAGATCAACAAGGCCTCTTTCTACTTCCGTTTTTTATTACGTCGGCCAGTGCTGTAAATTCTCAAAATCAATTGACCATTTTTGATGAAAATGAGAAAAGCAGCTATCCGCTATCAAATGGGACCTCCTTCGAATGGGTGATATCAGTTGTTTAGTCATTTGACGAAGGCATGGATCATTTTCATTTGAGAAACGCTTGATATCATTCAATTGAGTGTAACCTACACATAAACGAAGCTCTGGTCGACATTCCGGCGAAAAAGCTAAGCCAACCCGACACCAACCTGACTTCTACCAAACCCCAACTCGACATTGACCTGACATAAACCCAAATTTGACCCGACAACAACACGACATTGGGTCGACATCGACCTTAAATTTGCTTTAATTTGATCCGAAATCGGGTCGACTTGTCTGTTCGAGACCATTTTGCTGGGTTTCTTCCATATTCCACTGTCGTATATCAAATGATAGTGAGTGACTCAATTGACAGTGACGATGAGCTTCGAATGAGAAAGGCGCTCCTCAAATTATGGTGATGTGAGAATTCGGTTTTACAGAATTGATTGAATGGTTGTATTGGTTCATCTTCAATCGAATGATATGAAAATGAACAGCACTGACGCCGACTCTCGACTGTTCTTGATATATGTCCACAGTTGTTAATTGAGATCATGTTAAGCCTGTCCCATATTTGCATTGGTTCTCGGCTCCGTGAAAAAAAGGAACTTCCCAGGACTTCGCCTACAAGTTCAGGGGACTTCAGATAAGCTCAGTGAATTGGAAAAAATACAGTTCAGAGAACTTTGTTTGGGTTCATGGAACTGAGTTTATGAAACCAAGGAACTAAGCTGGAACTTAAGCTCAAGAAACGTCAAGGATGTACAGGAATCTTTGTAGAAGTTCAGGAAACTTTAGGTTGAGACACCCAAAACTAAACAAGCTACACGTCGAGGACAACAAACTGGAATACCTTGAAAGCTACTTCAACGATTCATATCAGGGCCCGGACCTGGAGTTGCAGCTGGCTACAGGACAAGCATCCCCGGGTCAAGTTCGTGGTGCAACAGGACCGTCAGACTTGCAGGCGATTTGTGAAGAACGTTTGTTGTGTCGGGAGTGACTATCATTCGGAACGGAGAGCCGACCGGAGGTTGCTTGTAGTGAAGCAGCAGAATTGGCAGATTTATAGGACACTTGAAAAGCAGCAGCAAGATTTGCGAAGGATTGAGGATAACGTTGGGATGTTAGGGGAGCGAATAGCGAAAATAGATCGCACGTTTGGGGAAGTGAAGATGAGTTGTAAGTTGAGAATGCGAAACCGGAGAATGTAAGATACTCATTTAGTTATGTTTGAAAGATATTCAGAATCTGTAATAGATCAACGCATGTACGGATTCAGTAATACAGTCTACGGAAGAGTTTTCAGCCTATGAGCTCAATAATTCTTCCAGAATTCTATGAAACTTCGCAAAATTTTTCGCTAGGGACAATGAATCAAGTTTGGGCTGGAATTTTTCAATGATTAATAGCACGAAAATAGCGTTGTTTGAAAGCTCATCAAAAATTCTAACTTTTATGATATTGAACACAATGGACACTTTATAATTGACCAAAATTGAACAACATCATCTTTTAGTAAAATTAAAAAAAAAAAATTGTGATAGACTTTTATCTTGTTGAATATCTCAAATTGTTTGAGCCTTCATTCATCTATAAAAATGTCTTTACTTAATACTCTGCTTCCATTTCCTCGCCGTTTTAGCTAGCCAGGTATCTGAGATCAGCTGATGGCTCATCCCGGTAATTCCTGAGAATCGAGAAATACTTTTATTCAGTGAAAAAATAGGTACGATCTTTTTTAGTTTATTTAATCTACCCTTGAAAGTTTATTCCAACATTCCGTTAGAATTATCTTCCACCTTACCTCGTTAGTTAGTTTCCGATTCTTCCTGGAAATTTATATTTCAACTTCCATTGGAAATTTCTTCTTGCTCCGCTCCAAAGGTTCTTCCGTCTTCTCCCGCCTGACGTTTATGCAACTGCCCCGGAACATCATGATTGGTTCCAGAGCTTTCATTGGCTACAGGAAAACTGCAGAAACTTTTAAGAAGTTCTGAAACTTCAGAAAAGTCCTGACTTTTGGGTAAGTTTAAAGATCCTTTTTTTTTCCTTTATTTAACGTCGGTCTCTGTTCCGCAATCTAGTGCCAATCACCGAAGGACATCGATTGCCATCCATTGACGGCAACCGAATGTGCAGGAAGGCAGCTTCCACACCTGCGTAGGATATCGCACCCATTCACAACACACATGGGCCGGGACCAACGGCTTTACTTCCCTTCCGAAGGAAGACGTGACCAGAGATTGGTATGCCTCAGAAAAATCCCACCAACCTCGGCTGGGATTGAACCCAGACCCATTGGGGTGTAAGAAAGCAGTCACGCTTACCACTACACCACCGGCGCAGGCTAGTTTAAAGATCTGTTAGGGTACGTTCCGATAACTTCTGTTCTGTTGAAATTCGAGAACCCAGGATTTTCGGAAACTTCGCAAATCCAAAGAACATCAGGTAAATTTAACAGTTCCGTTTGTTTCATGAGAATTGAGAGAACTTTAGGGAAGGTCTGAGAACATCAGGATAGATCAGTTAATTTCAAGGAAATTGCTGAAAGGTTGTTCCGATAAACTTAAGAAATATCCGAAAGCTTCAAAAAAGTTCCTAGAAGAACTTTTAGAAACTTAAGGGAAGTTGCATGAACATAAGAAAATTTTACATTAGTTCCGTGCATTTTAATGGAAGTTACGAGAACTTTTAAAAAATAATAAAATCGGGAAGATCGGAGGACTTCAATGCTGATGTTCCATTAATATCAAGAAAATATTTCAAGGATGAGCAGAGAACTATAAACAACCGTATTAACTTCAGGGAAATTGCTAGAACTTTCAAGGAGTTCCGAGTAATTATGGGATATTCTGAAGTGCATGTCAGGAATGTTTCGAAACCTTCAAAACGAAGGCTGTCAACGAAACAAAAACACAACAATGCGATACGAAATGTTACGAACCAGGGTTGCCAGAATGACGGATTAGCAGGAAATGAAAATTATTCTGAAGGTCTTTAACTGTTCCAAAAATTGAAATGACGTCTCCAGATACTCTCCCAAGGTTGCTGGTTGATCAGGAAATCTTCACAAGCTCTCCAGCTTATTGAAGATTTCAGTTAAGTCCTGTGAATATTCAGGTCCCTCAGCAAGCAAATTTTTTCTAAGATCAATTGCAATTATGTCCTCGGAGATCATTACAATTCACTTGAAACAATTCTTAGAATTCTTTTGAAACTATCCTCATCACAATTCCCATCTAATTTTTCTCGAAATTCTATAGGAAAGCTGCAAGAAAAGAAGTTATTATCTGAATTCCTTTAGAGAATGAGAAATCCTTTTAAAAAATATTTTAAAATTCTCA